GAGAGAGAGAGAGAGAGAGAGAGAGAGAGAGAGAATGCGCCGCTGATGAGAACGTCCCGAAGGTATCTTCACTTTCACTTTCGAAGCAGCTGCACGCGATCGGATCACATGCCCCGAGACGAGATCTTTCGGTTACGACGCGAAACGCGATGAAACACGGCAGACAAATAAACGACGACTCGTCTTTCTCGATGACAAGTAGAAAGGAAAAAGTATGTAAAACGCCATTGAAAAAAACTTAGACTCGTATACAGCGAGGAGAGAAGATCGGACTCTCAGTCTCAGAAATACCATCATCAGCATAACCGGATTATCGAGATCGAATCAGCCTCGGTTTTCCCGCGTGTTCCGGGGGAACAATAGCGAAACTTCAAGTGGCGCGTCGAGACGACCGCGAGATAAATTGAATCATTATGATGTTGGCTGGCTGTTGCGTCATCGATATCTTTGGTTTCGCGATCGCGCGATGAATACGCAGCTTCTGAACCGAGTACGACTGAAGTCGTGCGGGAGGGAACGAACGTATCAACGACTACGAGCCATGCTTCGGCGGCCATGTTGGAAACGCACGCCGGTCTGAAGAAATTTGAACAGAAGCAGAAGTGAGAAATTAGTAACTTCGGATCGGAAGTTGCGACGAAGGTGGATGCGAAAAGGTGTCAAACTCGAATATATATATGTAGGAATTGGAAATTAGCGGAGGCGAGGGCTCGATTTCGAAGAAGTTCGAGGAACAATCCAACGAAAATGAATGAACTCGGCGAGTGCAATTTCACTTTCTTACGACTTCGCTTTGCCTTGCGCAAGCCTCAAGGTTTCCCACATTACGAAAGCTACGATAGATACGAGCAAGCGGCTGTTCTCGGAATGGTGGCTCAGTTCCTGGCTGAGTGAGTCTCTTTGTCGTCGTCCCGCGTACTCGAAACTAAACATCGCGTTATCTTTCACATCGTGAAAGTGTTCCCTATCGAGGAGTTTCGAACTGCGTCGGCCATATTCGCGTGGTGGCTT